CGGCGCCACATGCCTCGGCTTCTCTCTGCTGGCTTCTCTCGGCCTTTGCACATATGGTCGTCTGCTAAATTATGATGCTCCAGAACACAAGAGCAACATGCACCGTTTCTTGAAAGACCGCATTTTGCCCTTGCCCCCGCCCCCCACCCCCCGCCACCCCCCCACCCGCCCCCACTGGCCCCCACCCGTCCCCGACATCATGATGTTCCAGAACATCTAGTGCACCCTGAACTCCCCAAAACCGGTAGACACCGAAAAGCTTAAACAACACAAAACCTTGAAACCTGAAATGTTGAGCCGACCTCCTGCAATGCCAGTGTCTTCTCGTCTTCTGCTTCCTCAGCTTTCTTCTGAAGCTTCTGCACCTGTCGCGGCTGACAGCCACCAGATCAGATTAATTAGCGACAGACCAAGATTGTAACATTGGCACAATCAACCCAATCCTCCAGTGCCCTTTGCTTCTCCTCCTCGGCTTTCTGAGCTGTCTTCTGAGCCTGTCCAGGCTGCCAGTGCAGCAGCTTCATTTGCATCCGACAACAGACGAAGATTGTCACACTCGCACAACCGAACCAATCCTCCAGTGCCCTGTGCTTCTCCTCCTCTGCTTCCTGAGCTTTCTTCTGCTCCTGTCCAGGCTGACAGTCAGTTGTGCTTTCATGTAACTATTAGCAGCACACGAGGAAGATTGAAACTAGTCCTCCAATGCCGCCGCCCTTTGCTTCTCGTCTGCTTCCTGAGCTTCCTTCTGCACCTGTCCAGGCTGCCAGTTCCGCCGAAATCGGACGAGCAACCAACTCAGTCCTCCAGCGCCCTTTGCTTCTCCTTCTCAGCTTCCTGAGCTTTCTGTGCCTGTCCAGGCTGGCACTGCGAAGAGTAGCAGTTTCGTGAATCAGTTGAACCAATCAAGTCCTCCACTGCCCTCTGCTTTTCCTTCTCTTCCTGAGCTTTCTGCACCTGCCCAGCAGGTTGCCAGTCACAAGTCCCATCAACATCCGACGAACATTGAAACATGGCACCAACATAGGACAACCAAATTGAATCCTCCAGTGCTTTTTGCTTCTCCTCTGCTTCCTGGGCTTTCTGATCCTGGATCGAACAATGGCACTAGCAGCACAAACATGAGGTGTAGGCCGTCAAGCGCCTGGGCAGTCCCAGGCTGCTGAAGCTCCTGGCACGGCGGGGCAAAGGGGCGATTGCATAGCACCAGGAATAAGGCAGGTTCCGAGCCTGCACTGCTCTTTCAGCAGCTTCTTGCTCAGATTTCTGCTTGGCCTGGGCCAAGGACATGAACCTAATCAGGGATAAGAGATGCATATTAAATTTAGGGTTTAGGTAGGAAACTTACAATCAGAAGCATGCCTTCAGGGCAGCCAATGCCTCCTCAGCTTCACGAAGCTTCCGGCTTCGTTCCTAGATCGGACAGCACACAATCGGCAACCATGCAAAAACGGAGGGAGAAATGCAAAAGCACCCATGCCGAATCTTTGCAAAAGCTAACACACCAACCTACCTCGTCTGCTCCAGAACCAGAAGAATTTCCACCATCCTGCAATGCCCCAAGGCTTGCACCAAAATCAAAGAACACTGCAACAAGATCGAGACTGCACAACCACGGCAGAAGCCTTGCCATTAGCCTTACCAGCATAGCCATAGCCTGGCAGGGTTTTGAGGCTATGTTTATAGAAACTAGGGATTAAAAAGTTTCAGGTTGGAGACGTCTGGAGAATATCATGGGGCCCTGCCCTGCCTTCAAGGGTGGGAGTGGCCTGCGGAGGCTTCCTCTCATAGACCGATGGTACCATGCACTTGTTGACAGCACCAATCCAGCTTGCACCGGGATTCTTCTTGCAGGCCTCAACCTTGGCTCTGGAGACACAGCAAGTTCATAGCAAAGCCAACACAGTGTACCAGTGTACCAAACAGGAGTCAAACTATGGTGCAAGTAGCCAGAGTCTGCTTCCAGGCTTCATAGGCAGATTCCTGGTTGAAGACAGCCGAGCAATCGTGCGTAGTAAAGTCGGGACCGGGACCTTGAAGAAGGAACCTCAGAACCGGAATGTGAGAACGGTTTAGAGTCTATGGATTAGGGTGTTGACATGTCAAGTCCAAGCTGACAACAAGCTCACAGCTAGCTGCCAACTTCTCTATAGTAGGGTTTAGGGTTTGAGGTTTAGAACAATTAATAGGACTCGATGAAGCAGGTGGCCGGCCCTCCCTGTAGATGCGTTGGCCAGGCACAGTTGATGGGATGACAAGCCTGGGCGGCCCTCCTGGCGCAATGGTAAGCTTGAGGCTTCGGGCCTTAGACAAGATATGATTCTATTGATTCGGTTGAGATGAACTAATTGAGACGATGCCACCAATGCTCCTTCTTTGCTGAACAGCCACGAGTCACCCTGCTTGCAGAACTGCAGAAAGTACTGTTGACGATGATCATCATTTGGCGCTTCCTCCTCCAGGGACCGAGCTCATTAATGCAAGCTTCCCAACTAATATTGATCCAATTGAAACCTTGACTCTCTACCTGACTGCTCTGGAGTAGCGACATGAAATCATCAATCTCCAGCCTTGGAGATCTGCTGGGGATGATTGCCCTTCCAGACATCGTCCCACCCAAATGACTTCGCAACCTCGTCCTGAGCACAGGCTTGCAACATCGAGGAGACCCAAAAATAAAAGATATCCTATATATGGCTTGGCCTGTACTTCAGACACTCAGATTTGCACACCGAGCAGCCAAATTGGAAAAGTCTGCATGGACCCGACTCAGTCGGCAACAGCCATTTCGCTGCTCAAATCTCGTCTTGGCTTCCATGAGCTTCTCTCGCCTCGGCTTGGTCTTGACGACACGGTGCATGAATCACAGGAACGAAGGAAGCAAAGAACAGTAGCCGTGCAAACCCAGCCCAAGTCTCAAATCTCCTCTGTTCTTGGCCCTCAAATCGCGAACACGTAAAAACGGGGGCAGTCCTGCGAGCAAGAATGTTGTTTGCCCTCAAATCGCGAACTCGCAAGAATGGCGGCGGTCCTGCGAGGAGGAAGATGCACTGCCCGACAGCCACATCCGATAGCTGTTGCCTCAAGCCTGGCTGAGGAACAGGCATCTAATGATTCGATCTTGACAATTTGTGGCAGCTTCACTAAAACATGATTCAAGACATGGGTTGTGCCTGGCTGGAACCGACCCTCGTCAATGGCACCCAAATATCTCAGCATGTCTCTCCTGCGAGTGAGAAGGAACACCAAGCATCGGCACCAGGCAGTTATTCATGGCACAGCAAGTGCATTCAGCCCCCCGCCCCCCTAAATGCATGCTCCTTGGGAACACATTCGTTTTGCCCTTCTTCCACACTGCAAGGTAGCATCGAGGGACAGGTCGCTGGTCGAGCACGTCACCTGAGCTCTCGAGTGTTGCAATCCGGGGTCAGTTCATGCGAAGCCGAAGTTTCAAGGATACTTTGAAAAAGGGGACTCGCTGCATCCTCCGAATAGGAGTCATCGGAGATCTGCTTCTTCTTTTTCTTGTCTTTCTTCTTTTTCTTTTCGTCTGCCAATGATCAGAAGGCACCAGTCAAATAATGATCTCGCTAGCATGCTCATTGCTCAAGAATAACATAGGGCAAAACCTCACCTGGCCTTTCGAAGCCTTCTTCTCTTTCTTGCTTGTCGGTGGCGCTTTGGAGCCGGAGCTGTGCCGCCTTTTGTTGCCCCGAGGCTTCTTGCTGTCTGTCCTGAACTCTGGGCAATGTGATGCTGAGGAACCATGTCATGTTCTTGAAATAAAAAGGCCAGGAAACGATATCGAATCTCCATCATCATCAGAGTCATCCCCCACAGCAGGGCCTGAGATCTCACATCATTGGGAGAAAGTGACAAAATGAACCCAGCAATGTTGCTTTTGCTCCGCCAAGTTGGCAAAATTGCAGCTTGGGCACTCTCAGAGCTAAACAAGTCATTGAGAGGATCATCTTCAGGCTCGGCCTTCAAGGACCTGCCTGAACTCGCCCTTCGTAATCGAGCATCGGCTTCGGGAGCCAATTGCTGCTGATGCATTCCCATCATCGACCCAGGCCCATGCATCATCGGCAACCCTTGCCCGACCATTGAGCCAGCCATTGGCGCACCCATTGACCCAACCATCGGATGCTGTGCCACGATCGGTGGATAAATCGTGCCCAGATACTCGGATCCGTGTCGGGCACCCCTCATGTGCCTGGAATGCAACTCAGAGATTTCAGGCAACAGGCTACCTACTGATTTTTTGAATCAACACATGTAACCTAGGTGAATTTGCGATCGAGACACTCCGGCAACCTTTTCTCAGCACGATGCTTGAGCTTTCCCATCGCAACTCTTCTAAAGCAGAACCGTTTCACTTCAGGGGCCCTCAAGCCAGATTTGCAGAAAGCGATGCATCAGCAGACCACAGGCTCGCATTCATCACTCATGGAGGTAAGAATGTGCTTGAATGTTTCTGAATGTTTCTGAATGTTTGCGTATGTTTCCAAATGCTCCCTACAAGTGCCAGAAGACCCTCTTTGAGTAGCACCCCTATCTTTGAGAAAGACTTTGAGGCGGGATTCACAGTCCCTTTCCCACCACTTGAGGGCCTGATTGCCTCCATGGGTCCCATCCGGATCACCCTTCACGTCGAAGGCGGCATGTGTCATAGCCGCCCTTCGTGGGCTCATTTCCCTGATGCGATCCTCAACTGCCGCACTCAGTGTCTCCAGGCCCTTGGTGAGCTCCAACCGTGGAATGCATCCCTCCCTGCATGAGGGAGGAAGCATAGATGCCAGCCCCACAAAGGTGTCGAGGAGGCCAGCGGAGAGCCTAATGCAATGCACAGCATCCACAAGGTCACGAACATGAAAATCATGGAAACTGTGCACAACTGCAAAAACATGTTTCGCGGCGCGATCAACTGCACAACAGGCACTGCACAAAATGCAATGCACTCAATGCCTCAATGCACAATGCACACCACTCAACACTCAACACTAGGACAAAGGCTGCGCGAGATCCGGCAGTGGAGCAGCTGCTTGGAGGGAGGTGCTGGTAACCGGCGCTTGCTCCTCAATCGCCGCAACCTTCAGTTCACTTCACAACACAACGGGACACAACGACCAACGAATGCGCTAGACCAAAAACATGAGACCAGTTGTGTTCGGCATACATATAAGCCAAGTCGGGCGACCCATTTTCGTTCGGTCTCGGCAATCTTGAGCTCGTGCAAACACTTCCGGACCTTGCTGCCGTCGTCGCTCTCACTGGGCTCCGGTTTGATATGGCTGGGCAAAGGCGGTGGCGGTGGTTTCTCAGTCTTCTTGGTCTTGGGCTTGCTCCTAGCCTTCTTACTAGGCTGGATGGCGAGCCTCGCGAAGCCCGGCAACGTGGGGAGTGCCATGTTGTCGAAGACACCCGTCTTCGTGTGGAGTTCACCACCCTCTAGTACGTCTTGAGCGACACTACGCAGTTCGTGGGCGTGCGCCTCTGTCTGTCCTGAGCTGGTGATCCCCCTGGTGTGGGAGAGCTCACGGCCTGAGGTGAGGGAGTGGGTGGAAAACTTGGCCACGGTCGGCCACCCTTCTTCATCCGTACCCTTCTGGACCAGTGGGGGAGACATTGCTTCTGTCCACTTCTCGGATGCGACCTGTGGGGTCCAGCCCCAGGTCTCGCGGCCGTACTTCTCGAACCTGTGCGCCATGCCAATGTTCGGGTAGCAAACACAAGAACAACTATCACAACCGAACCACAAGAACAGCCACAACACAAGCAAGATCAACAGCAGCGACGACTACAACAATCACGACGACAACGACAGCCACACCAACAACAACACTACAACAGCCACTATGACTACTATCAGTACCACTACTACTAGTCTACTAGTACTGTACTAGTACTAGTACCACTACTACTACTACTACTACTACTACTACTACTACTACTACTACTACTACTACTACTACTACTACTACTACTACTACTACTACTACTACTACTACTACTACTACTACTACTACTACTACTACTACTACTACTACTACTACTACTACTACTACTACTACTACTAGAACAGCCACAACACAAGCAAGATCAACAGCAGCGACGACAACAACAATCACGACGACAACGACAGCCACACCAACAACAACACTACAACAGCCACTATGACTACTATCAGTACCACTACTACTAGTACTGTACTAGTACTAGTACCACTACTACTACTACTACTACTACCACTACTACTACTACTACTACTACTACTACTACTACTACTACTACTACTACTACTACTACTACTGCCACTACTACCACTACTACTACTACTACTACTACTACTACTACTACTACTACTACGGCTACTACTACTACTGCTACTACTACGACTACTACTACCAGTTACTACTAAGAAATACTAATTAGTAACTACTACTGCTACTGCTGCTGCTACTACTACGACTACTACTCATACTATTACTACTACTACTACTACTACTACTACTACTACTACTACTACTACTACTGCTACTACTGCTACTACTACTACTACTACTGCATTACTATTGCCACTACTACTACTACTACTACTACTACTACTACTACTACTACTACTACTACTACAACCACCACCACCACCACGACTATTACTACTACTACTACTACTACTACTACTACTACTACTACTACTACTACTACTACTACTATAACTACTACTACTCCTACGGCTACTACTACTACTACTACTACTACTACTACTACTACTACTACTACTACTACTACTACTACTACTACTACTACTACTAACTCTAACACTAACACTAATAAAATTATAAAATTCCTACGACTACTACTGCTAAAACTACTACGGCTACTACTACTACACTTCTACCACGACTGCAACTACTGCTGCGACTACTACTACTACGACTGCTACTGCTACTACTACTACTGCGACTGCTACGACTTGTACTGCTACTACTACTAATTCACTTCTCACGACGACAACTACTGCTACCACTAGTAGTTTCGAGAGTTCGAGCTCCGGGTCAGGGGATGGAGCCTGGAGTGATGGCACTCGTGTGGCATACTATGAGATGTTGCAGTCGTGAAGATTAAAAACAACCGACTGGCACCGAAGATATAGGTATAAAATAATTTTGAGCGATTCTGATTCCTGATAAACCTAAAATGCGATAAATATGGTCCTCCCGGCAGGGATCTATACACTATACACTCTACTGTAACTAGAATTACAAGTACTCATGTGGTCCTGTACTACTGATACTACTGATACTACTGATTCT